AAATAGATTCTATATACACCACAAAAATATTACTCTTTTTAGTCTATTTCAATAATTATAAGGATAAATGATAAGTGATAACATGCGTTTGCTGTGAGCCTGCCCACAAAATAAAACTGCAAAAAGTGCAAAGAATGATCATTCCTTAGTTAAAACCATAATCACCAATCACGTGTGCATTATACAGGTAGCTACAATTTATAGCGCTATATTTGACATGGTCATAATCTACACACTGCAGGTCTGCAGGAAATTTATAATCTTCTTACTGTGCTCGCAGGAAGAAAATTATTTTTTCCACCCCTGACACAGTGTTTCACGCTTTCAAAGCGATCTTCAGTATCGCCTGAAGATCGTTTTGCTTTGAAAGCGTGAAACACTGTGTAGCGATTAATAAAATTTTGAGATTAAAATAATATATTTTGCTCTATCAATTAAATTTGTTATTGAGCACTCTTTTTACCACGGACAACGATTAATTTATTTTATATATATATATATATATATATATATATATATATATATATATATATATATATATATATATATATATATATATATATATATATATATATATATATATATATATATATATATATATATATATATAATAGTATAATATATATATATAAAAATACTATTTGCTCCGTTAAATTCTTGATGTTGAGCACTCTTTTTACACTATATAATTGAAATATTATCATTATTATTATTATTATATATATATATATATATGTTGCGTGTAAAAAGTTGAACCGGGTTCAACTCATCCGTCTCCGCGTTCGCCGTTCGTAGCACCCGTATGCGCAAACGTAACTGTACGTACATAAAAAAACGGATGAAAAACGCAGCTCTGGAAATCAGCCTTAACCCTCGTGTTTAAGAGAGTGTAACCTTGGCAACTATTCACGAGGACTTCGATTTAGCTGGCTGTCATCCACATTCAAATACGAATTTTACCAGCGTCTTCCTTGGTAATTGAATGTGATACATTTTGATTTTGTATTTTTATTTCTTTAGGCTAAATTTATGCCCAACACCAATGACAGTATCATTGTCACGTGTGCCCGTGATGGACAGGTACAGTCTCCTGTTTTATTTATTGTTCACTATAAGTGTAAATTGTATACTTGAGAAAGCTTTCTCGGACCCGTATCTTTTGTATCGGATTTTTGGGTTAAAAGATTGTCTTTGAGGGCAGGGTTCGCATGGGTACTGAGTCATTAAGAGGACGACCCCAGTAATATTCTGTGTTTCTTTGCGATCTTTCATGTAGGAGTTGAACCCATAATTGCCCTCCTGGCTCGCCTATAGTGTCCGCCACTGTGCAAAGGTTTCTATATTTGTTTTATGATGTAGGTCCGTGCAGGGTACTTGTCCTCAATTGGGTCATGTAATGGAACAAAACCTCTTGCCCAACACAGAGATGGAGCGCACAAGGTAACACATAAGCCCGTTGTTTTTTGGTAGATTATAAAAGAATGTTTTTAAAATTAAACGGTCGAAGGCTGTGTCTTTCAGTTCGCATCGTTGAGTATTACGGCTGGGGAGACGAGCTTGTTTTGCTCGACCAAAAGGGCGTGGCCGAAGTCGGGCCCGACGGACGAATCAACGTGGCAAAAGTCGAAACTGAAAGTTGAGTTATAAGAGGAAGTACTTCATGTTGTGCAGTTATAGTTAACCCGTTTCCAGTCGCGTTTTGAAGTTTTCATGCTCACCCAGATATAGCAGGCATACTTTTCGTAAGTTTTTTTCTCTCTATCTATCTGCCAATTTGCCCACATTTCATTAAATATAAATCAGGGTTTTTTCAAAACTTGTATGGATATACCCGTCGAGATCAGTCTAACAGAGGTTGATGGTTTCACACCAGCCCCCAACACACGCCCCTGTCAGTCTCATAGCTACCCACAACATAGTTTGAGATCACATTGAGCTGTATAGCTTTCAAGATAGCAAATGCCCACCACATGCCTGTCGCAGGTTCTTTGAAAGAAATTTTACCGTCGGTTGTCTATTCTTTGTTTGATAATAGCTAAGTATCGAACCTGGTTCACCAAATATTTTACTATCATGTGGAGAAGATGGCCAAATCATTGAGGTTGATTTACGAATAGATGAAGGAAATAGGTATAACACATAAATAGTAGAATGTGTCTCCATAAATAAACCCGTCTGGGAGTCTTTTGGCATGTTGCGTATATATATCATGCAGGGAATCTTAATTCCTGATCAGTATATATACTTATATAATTTCTACTCCACATACCTATAGTTCTTTTTCATAATGGTCATAAAAGCATTTAGCAGCTGTGTGCAGGATATTGTTCTTATTTTTCTGACTTGTATTAAGGTGGCTCGATATAGTTATCACAAAAATCCTGCTCAAGAATCGCGAACAAAACCGGGTGACCATTTTTACGCGCAAGTCGCGGAAACTGCTTAACAAAATGAAAGAACTTCCAAAATGACCTGACGTGAGCAGTTGCTCGCGCCATCTCACGTCATTGCGCGTGTTCTATAGCGTTTTATGCCAATTGCTGACGTATTTAGAATTTTCCATTTTAGAAAAACAATGTTCAAATTTTTCATGCTGTATTGCACCGCTAAAACATGCAAGAAATGAAAAAAACATGCAAAAAATAAAAAAATTCTGTAACACCAAAAACATTTTAGCGAAGAATACGACATTTTCGCATTTTTCAAAAGAATGGCATTTCCATGCAAGTAAAATAATGCACAAAACAGATTGGGGGTCACCATGCTTCTTTCCCAACTATACGAGACGATGGGCCATTTTGGAGTGAATTTCGTACCCGCGTATGTCGTTATAACAACGAACTATCTGTTACTAAAACTAATATAATTTGAAAGTAGAGATATCAAAATATGTATTTTGATATCTCTACTTTCAAATTATTCAAAAAACCCAATATCTGCTGAATAAATCCTAAAAATGCGTAGTTTGAACATGACAAATTGTTGAACACCTGAATTTTTGAAAAGTGTGTCGAGCCACCTTAAGCTTGCACGGACATTAAGAGCTCTTTTCCACTCATCGCAAAACCATTTTGCAACCTCGCTGCGAGTGCTTGCATCTAATTAAAGTAAACTGTCGAGCATTGTGACTGATAAAATTGAGTATTTACAGCGAGCTTGGGAGTGGGTTTTTACGATTGGTGGAAAAGTGAACTTTTCTCAATTTTGAGAAACTACAAACTCTACAAACTTATCGATATTTTTCTCCTATATCGCACCACCGAGTGCATTACACATGCATGTACTATGTCTATATGGTGCATCCAAATGCGGACAAAGTATTTCAATGGAAACTTGCATGTTAGACTAAATTTTAAATGTAAAGAAAAGGGAATAAAAAACACAGCTAAAAAGAACACAATGAAATTAGTAAAATCGCAAAATTTGGTTGCGAAATGTTGTAAAGCTTGGAAAATATAGTCTTGCAAAGTTTGCACATTTTGTATATATGTTTGTATTACTTGCGGAAATTGTTACCATTTTCGGCTAAAAAATGGTAACAATTTCCGCACGTAATACAAACATATACAAAATATGCAAACTTCGCAAGGCTATATTTTCCGTATTTTACAACATTTCGTAACCAAATTTTGCAATTTTACTAATTTTAATAAGTTCTTTACGGGAATTTACTTTTTTGCCTAGATCAAAAATTAGTCTAACATGCAAGTTGTCTATTTATGTACAGCATATTGATACCATTGAATGCGAGTCATTTCTTCACTTTTTTGTTTTGTATATACAGAATGCTTCTCTGTCGTAATGAAAAGAACGCAAGAATTCCTCTGTATTCGATATTTATTAATCCTGCTAAACACGAAGAATTTGCCGTTGGTGGTAGAGACCACAGGTGTAGGTAAGACAGTGTATATTATTTACTATACCTGCAGGGCTATTTTACTAATCTCGAGTACTAGTATACTCACCTCGCCCTGCATGAAATTCTTTGTATTTGATGTACATTGACTGCAAGACAATAGAGCAAGAAGAATGCACCTCTATAGGTGGTAGGAACTTTAATACGCATGCAGTATATTATCCATTTACTCGTCACTATTGCCTATTGGCGTTTCGTATATGACTCAGTTACTTAACGCAAAGCGAAAAGTAAATTGTGAGCAGATCAGTGTTGAACTGGGAACAAAGGTCGAGGATTTTTACCTGCTTGAATAGTTGTTATATTCATCTTCCCATAAGAAAATTTCTCTCTTTGCTCATCACATAGCAATGAAATCATACAGTGGTCATTAGCCAATGTAAATCAGTAAATCACTTCTGCTGCATGGTTATTGCGTGCATATACCATTCAACTCTCTGATCAGGTTGCATGCCGATTCTTACAATATACAATTTCCAGGCATAGCGGGGTTTTTTCCTGCATAACCTTCACGGGACGTGTTGCTAATGGTGTATACAATATTTATTTGGTATATATTTACTTCAGTTACTTAATGTTTTGTTTTGCAGAGTTTATGATCGAAGATATATACAAGAGGTAACGTGTCGAAAAATCAAGTAAAAAATATAGAGTAAAATTATTCATATGCACGTTTGTACAAAATTATTCGTATGGATATTTACAACAACGCGTGTATGGTGAAACCAGAAACCAGGAATTTTTTAAAAAAATAATAATAACAATTATAGCCGCCTGTGTAGGCTTTTTTCTCAAAGGATATAGAGGTATAGTAATTTACTTAGCGACATGCATGTATATCCGCCAGTGTTCCCCTGTGGGCCTTTTTAGGCTATTTACACTTTTCATTCCCACAAAACATCCACGTAAGGTCATCACTTTCCTTGTGGTTTCCGTACCAAAAATTGTGCCTGGGTTTCACTGGCTGGTAATTTCGCCCCAGTATTCTATAGGGTGGAGAAATTATCACCATTGCCCAACAAGGCGTGGGCCTATATGCATTTCGGTAAGTTGAAGGAGGCTAATGGTTCACTGTAGCTCATTGTTTTACCATTCAGAACATCAAACAAAAAGTACAAGCTGTCAAAGAATATTATCCAACTGAATTTGTACGTATATATTTAATTTTGTTTGGTTTGTCTTAATTTTTCTGTAGCAGTTTCAATATATGTTAATGTGTATCGGTAGATGTAATTTGCAAAATGTAGAACGTCTGATGCGAACATCGAGCTTGATATTTAAAAATTAACTTTTGCAACCACAGCCACGCCCTCTTGAAGTCAAAGTATACGATAGTCTATATCCAGGGTTTTTGCTGACGTTGTCGGTAAACGTGCACTGTAGATTGTAAGAATAACTAAAATAGCCTAAAACTAGGAGTATAAAACCGAGCAAATTATACAGTCATTTTGCACAGTTATATACGTTACTAAGAAAGTGTTGTATCGCTACACAACAAAAACAGTTTTTGATATGCCTTTCCTTGCCGGCTGGCCACTATATCCCTAGGCTCATGACGTACTTGCCATGGAAATCACGAAATGCGTGGCCAAAATGCATTGACGAAGTGCATCATTGGGCATTTATGTTAATTAGTTCAATTAATTTTTTCCATCATTTTTTTTCGATCTATATATATGTAGCTGGGCTAGTCTTTTGCAGAGAGAGTTGTTATAAAAATGACTAGAATTAAATATTTAGTTATAGTTAGTTATAGTCTATAAAGAATTGCCGTTTTCGTTTACTGACAGGAAAACGAAGATGCCTTCATCAACATCACTTGCCTGGTGTACTCTCACGATGGTTCAGGTCAGTATAAAATATATAGAGTGAAATATATGTTGACTCTATAAAGGTCATGTATTAAACAGTCATGCATTGCATGTGTATTAAAATTTCTAATTTTGCTATGTATATAAACGTAATTATAAGACACTGTTTAAGGTGGCTCGCTACAGTTTATAGAAATGTTGAAAATGCGTAAACTAGATCACCTTTTTGAAGAGATGATGCTCTTTACAAATCGAAATTTGTATATTATATATACAGCGACAATCAAACAGTCGAAAATTGGTCAGAAAAG